TTTCATGCTATTCTCGATACCTTTATGTATTTTCAAATAATTCAGATAATTTTTCAAATAATTCAGATCATTTTTTGTCATCTCTTTTTGGCTATCTATTATTGGACATTATATAGTGTATGTAAACTGCAGGGTGCGGTTCCTGGTGTGATTGATGACTAACTTAATAACTAAGTTCATATTTCTCAGATTGTATTCCTAAAGAAACCATCTCAAGCTCTTAACCCCCAAATGTTGATGCCTATGACTCCCATAATAGTCTGAATGCAATAGATCCCCGGAACGAGTTGTATTTCAGCAACTGAGGGGCCAGAGTTTGAGATATTTATGTATTACATTATATATATATATACACGTGCAATTCATTTCATGCAATTGCCGAAGTTCCGAATTGCTGAAGTTCTGAATTGCCGAAGTTTGGTAGTTTGGAAGTGCCGAACCGAATGCCATTGGTCTGATTTGCCGAAGCAGACAATTTTTTTTTCTTACCCGAATTTCCGAACTGAACCAAATTGTTTGCCCATGCACATCCCTAACTTTTAGTATTATTTAACATATTGAGATCTACACTTCCCTACAGCAGTTTTAACTTGGACCTGTTGACTTTCAAAAGCCCTAAATATTCAGGTTCCACACTTCCCAAAATTATTCTAGTCACCCTAAATTGTCATTCTAGTTGTAACATCGCTGCAGTTATGTGATTTCTGTGGGAAAAGCAAGTCTTATGGCTTGACTGTTGTGCAGATTTTTGTTTAACATTGTATTAACTATCCACAGACTTCAGGTGGAAGGGGTTTTCAATCACAATTTTTCCCCACTATAACTTATTTGGATTTTGCTTCCCAAGCACTACCAAGCCTCAATAAGCAAACCTGTAACCAACCTCATGCTGATGAGTTGCATTAACAATGAAACAGCTGTCCATGAGTGGTTCACTGGTTTTGCATATTTCCCTATATTGTGTTTCAAGCTGTTGTATACAGCAAACACAGATTAAAAGGAATCCATGTTTAAAATGGAATGAGGCAAAAAGTTAATTCTTTGTTAAATAAATTTGCATATGCCCACCCAGAATCCTTTGCAGTTGTAACATCGCTGCAGTTTTGGGATTTTGGTGGGAAAAGCAAGTCTTATGGCTTGACTGGTATGCAGATTTTTGTTTAACATTGTATTAACTATCCACAGACTTCAGGTGGAAGGGGTTTTCAATCACAATTTTTCCCCACCGTAACCTTTTTGGATTTTGCTTCCCAAGCACTACCAAGCCTCAATAAGCAAACCAGTAACCAACCTCATGCTGATGAGTTGCATTAACAACGAAACAGCTGTCCATGAGTGGTTCACTGGTTTTGCATATTTTCCTATATTGTGTTTCAAGCTGTTGTATACAGCAAACACAGATTAAAAGGAATCCATGTTTAAAATGGAATGAGGCAAAAATGTGATTCATTGTTAAACTAATTTGCATATGCTCACCCAGAATTTTTTGTGGTTGTAACATCGCTGCAGTTTTGGGATTTCAGTGGGAAAAGCAAGTTTTATGGCTTGACTGGTGTGCAGATTTTAGTTTAACATTGTATTAACTATATATATATATATATATATATATATACTGATCAACCACAACATTGAAATCACCATCATAACAGGAAGAATTGGGATTAAAAAGATTATTTAAACCAATGTAAATCTTTACAAACAGATGTGAATTCAATGCTTGTAAAAAAAATGAGTTTTGGCATTCTCTGGCAATGGAGACTCATTGGTTATAGGAGATGATAGGTCAAGTATAAAAAAATAATAGTTCTAAGTAGTAAGTATGTATACTCTATTTGTGCATGCATTCTGGACACTAAAGTAAGTGATTGATATGTTTATGGAAGAGAATGAGAATGACAATGCAGGGTGTAGTGATGTACCGAACGGTTCGCCGGCGAACGGTTCCTGGCGAACATAGCATGTTCGCGTTCGCCACGGCGGGCGAACATATGCGCGGTTCGACCCACCCCCTATTCGTCATCATTGAGTAAACTTTGACCCTGTACCTCACAGTCAGCAGACACATTCCAGCCAATTAGCAGCACACCCTCCCTAGCAGACCCTCCCACCTCCTGGAAGGCATCCATTTTAGATTCATTCTCAAGCTGCATGCTTAGTAAGAGGAGGGAAAGTGTAGCTGCTGTTCATAAGATAGGGAAAAGCATAGCTAGGTTAGGGATAAGGGTATGCTTTTTTTTTATTTATTTTTTCTATGTAATGTAAATGCACTTAGTTGTCTGCCACTGCTGCCAGCTTCTGTGTCAGGCTCACAGTGCATACTGTGCCCATTTCCCCAGTCAGTGCCACCACTTACATCTGGTGTCACAATAGCTTGGATTTAAAAACAAAAAACTTTTTTCACTGTTATAGATTGAATAGCAGTCAGTTGTCTGCCACTGCTGCCAGCTTCTGTGTCAGGCTCACAGTGCATACTGTGCCCATTTCCCCAGTCAGTGCCACCAATTACATCTGGTGTCACAATAGCTTAGATTTAAAAACAAAAAACTTTTCACTGTTATAGATTGAATAGCAGTCAGTGTCCTTAAAGCGGGTGTGTTACGCTAACAGTGGATACGGTGACCATTGCCACCACTTAGATCTGGTGACACAAAGCTTGTTTAAAAAAACCAACCACT